TATATATATATATATATATATACATACACACGCATATATATATACATATATATATGCGGATGTGTGTATGTATCTATATTTAGAAACCTGTGTGCGTATAATTGGTATTCTCTTGTTACTTACTTATTTTTCAATCCAAAGGTTTTGTCAGCTGCTTGCTGCTTAACCTTGCTGGTTTCATTTTTTGACTTTTTAGGCGGCATGATGAGTGTTGATGACTCCTGTCAAGGTATTTACTACTATGGTCTATAACCTGGTTATGCGGTGTTTGTAACAACAGTCGTGAGTGCGTATATGCTTTGTTTGTGTAAAAGTGCACACACACCGCTGAGAAAGACTGTTGATGTGTGCTAGTTACTAGCTAAATGCCCCACCGGTAGCCAAATGGGCGAGGAGCTAGTGCTTAAGGGGTGTGTGTGTGTGTGTGCTGATGTGTGTCTAATATGCGATGGGCCAAGCACTACTCTAGTGTTGTTGATGAATGAAGTAATAATTAGCTTTGTGGTTGTGTACAATATCAGTGGAGTGTGGTGGGAACTGGGATGTCTTTCAAAGTCAGCTGAGAAATATATTATATAAACCATTTTTTGAAATGATTTTCAAATCGGAAAGATCGCGTGTCACACATACTGTCCTCAGGGCTACATGGATGCACCTAAATGTGTTAACTTTAGGTACAGTTGCCCTTTTTGTAAATAAATTACATCCTTTCAGAAATATTTCATTTACTAAAACTGTAGTACCATAGGCTATAGATATCAAATTCGATGATAACTGTGTTTTCATTGAAAATTAATATTATTAACCAATTAAACGTTTCCAATATTTAACATTTTGAAAGAAATAAATTGGGTGACAATTTCTAGTAGTCATGACTGCGGGATTGTATTTATCACAAAGTCAGATCATAATCAACAATTTTGAAATCTCATTCCGACACTCGTTTGTAATCATAATGGCTCGTGACAACTTGCTTTCTTGTTTATTAAATATGTACATACAAGACACCTCCACAAGAAGGTATCATGGGAAGCAATGCATAACATACACACCATTAAAACAAGCTAACTTTCAACGCAACCAATTCAACCAATTGGGCTATACTATTGTATAGTACGAAATCATATGTACCACCGTATAATGAACGCGGACAGCTGCCGTGGGCTGTTTGTGCGTGTGGCTGTGTGGCTGATTGCTGCGACAACCATCGCGTTCTGCTTAAGCGGCTATTTCACCCACTACCACGTCAGTAAGTTATAAGTTATTTATTGTACTAATATGTCGCCATACAGTTAAGCTCTGCGCACATGTCTCAGTAGTAATACACGTCGGATCGGTAGCACGGTCAACACTGATGTCACAAGCGATGAGCGCTACACCAGTATTCAGTACCCTGTGTGGTATAAACCCCTTTCGTGACCTTCTCCACTTCATCTACTATTCATAATGTATACTTCATATACTATTCATACTATATACTTCATCTGCTATTTATGTTGTATACTTCATATACTATTCATGCTATATACTTCATATACTATTCATGCTATATACTTATACTATTCATGCTACATACTTCATATACTAATCATGCTATATACTTTATATAATATTCATGCCATATACTTCATATACTATTCATGCTAAATACTTCATATATTATTCATTCTATATACTTATACTATATTCATGCATACTTATACTGTTCATGCTATATACTTCCTATACTATTCATGCTATATGCTGATACTATTCATGCTATATACTTCATATACTATTCATAATGTATATTCATATACTATTCATAGTATATACTTCATCTACTATTTATGTAGTATAATTCATATACTATTCATGCTATATACTTCATATACTACTCAAAATGTATACTTCATATACTATTCATACTATATACTTCATCTACTATTCATGTTGTATACTTCATATTCTATTCATGCTATATACTTCATATACTATCCATGATGTATACTGCATATACTATCCATGCTATATACTTCATATACTATTCGTGCTATATACTTCATATACTATTCATGCTATATACTTCATATACTATTCATGCCATACACTTCATATACTATTCATGCCATATACTTCCTATACTATTCTTGATATTTTCTGAATCATATATATCTTCCTATATGGATTGCTGCTCGCATACGTGTTCAATGGTATCAGCTGCAATCGTCGATAATGCGATTAACATGTGTATATATAATACAGCCATATATAATTATATTTTGAATCCAATATCACACGAACCCTAACACCCCCTACGCCTAGAGAATAGTAGCAGAGTAAGTTGACTTGCCACCCAATCGAGACAGTCGCTCAAGAATGGATTATTTTACCGTACGATTGGAAAGGGCATACGATTTGCTTTGGTTGTGATGTGAAAGTCAGTATATTTACTGGTGGATAGTTCTGTTTGCGAGCGCAATTCAGCTATGATTCGACCGACACATAATGTTCATCAACCCCGACAAACCGATGAAAGCAGAATTTCATACACTGTAATCTGTGACTAAGCGTTGTGTGCACCGTAACTAATTTGTGTGTGCCAATTGTGCTGCGGCAGAAGATAATAGAAGTACATCCATGCAGCTGACAACACCAAACATGAACCGGTAGAATAGCGTCATTGGAAGACATGCTCCAAGGTTGCGCCTTTATGCACTAACCTATGCACGCACGCATGCTCATTCACTGTGTTACGCGTCACGAGCAATTGAATTCATCCGTATGTGCTCACAGATTACCGACTGTCCTGTGCGTTCAGTGAATGTGCCTTGTACCGTGTGTCACGTAGCACGTGTTTTTTTGGGTTTTAGGGTTTCGCGTTTTTGTGTCACGTAGCACGTGGGTGTACCACACATTGCCTTACTGCCCATTCGTAGGAGTGACCCACTGTGTGACTCTGCGTGCGCTGTTGTCGTTAGAGTGTATTGCGAGGTGTTACCATGGGAGTGGATGTGTAATCACACATGCAAGTGCTCAGCTAGAGCATGGCACTTATGAATGACCCGACGACGTTCACAGAGCTATATAAAGACTACGAAGAAGTGCTCACGGACAACTGGGACGAAGCGGAGGAGGGCGATTTCGATGCGTACGAACGATTGCTCGTGTGCCCTGTGACCAGAACAGACGACATCCGCATCGCTTGTGTGGGGTGAGTCGCAGGCCATCTTTAACATGAATGGAAGGGGTTCATCAGTATAGTGTTAGTTGATATCCTATAGAGTGTGGTCTGATAAGCTCTAATGTTAATCATTTGGTGTATCAGTATAGTGTTAGTTGATATCGTATAGAGTGTGGTCTGATAGGCTCTAATGTTAATTCATAGGTTCATCAGTATAGTGTAAATTGGTATCATATAGAATGTGGTCTGATAGGCTCTAATGTTAATCCTTTGGTTCATCAGTATAATGCAAATTGGTATCATATAGAGTGTGGTCTGATAGGCTCTAATATTAATCCTTTGGTTCATCAGTATAGTGTTAGTTGATATCCTATAGAGTGTGGTCTGATAGGCTCTAATGTGAATCATTTGGTTCATCAGTATAGTGCTAGTTGCTATCCTATAGAGTGTGGTCTGATAGGCTCTAATGTTGATTCTTAGGTTCATCAGTATAGTGTTAGTTGATATCCTATAGAGTGTGGCCTGATAAGCTCTAATGTTAATTCTTAGGTTCATCAGTAAAGCGTAAATTGGTATCATATAGGATGTATTCTGATAGACTCGGCTGTTGATCTTTTAGTTTAATTTCTTTTGTGTCGCAAATGGAGAGAATGAGATCATACTACACCATTACACTCTCATACTAGACCATTACACTCTCAAACTAGACCATTATACTCTCATACTACCCCATTACACTCTCATGCTAGACCATTACACTCTTATAATAAACCATTTCAGTCTCATACTACACCATTACACTCTCATACTACACCATTACACTCTCATACTACACCATTCCACTCTCATACTACATCATTACACTCTCACCGTATACACCATCACTAAAGTCTTTCTCTGTGATTGTCAATGCCTGCATGCATTACACAGCGATAGCATAACGCGTGGCAATGGGTCATTTGCCGAAGGCGTGGGGGGGCACGAGGGGGCCTATGAGCGAGGCAACTATCCAGCTGAGCTAGATGCCATGCTGAATACACAGTTCCCTGATAAGAATGTATGTGATAAGAATAAGAATGCATGTAGTAAGCTTGTATGTGATATTAATTTATGTGATCGGAATAAGAATGCATGTAGTAAGAATGTATGTGATGATATCTCTGCGTGTGCATTGTACTCTACTGTGCGTAGTCGTCAGTTGTTGACATCGATAGGTTTGAGCCGCTCCACAACGGAACTATTGCTAGATAACGTTTGCAATGCTGAAGGTTACAATGAGCGAATTACGCACACGAATGCGATAGAGAACAGTTGACGTCATGGATACTTTTGTGCATAAGAAGACCAGTTGTACCTCAAACTGTATGTAACATATACACCTCTCGTTTGTTCTGAGCATAAGCGCAAAAATGTTACTAATCTGAACAGCTGATAACAATTCATTCTGCACTCGTCGCTTAGATGTTCCCTGAATTCTCATCACTTGTCGTAACTGCTCTACTTCTACCCAACCCTAAACCCTACTTCGACCAGGTCACGGCCAGAAACTATGGCGTCAGTGGCGCCCAGACACTTATTGTAAGTTTACTAGCACGTGGTTAAGATTACTTGACTATATATGTACCCGAAATACCTTTGTCTGTTTGTAGATGCGTTTTATGTGTGTATAACGTTGTACGCATGTGTGTGTTGATGCTGATGAATGTCGCAAATTATAAATCGCCTCTAAACGAAAGAGAAGTAATTCTACTTCCAACTCAAGCACAACGCATCGCAGGTAGTCTTAGTGTGGTCGTGTCTCTGCAAGAGATGTCCTTACGGTGTATACAAATCGCGAAGCTACACGATTCGATAGCAACTTCGTTTGCTCGATTCAGGAATATTTAATACCACATGTTCACTGTTTGATTAAGTACCACATGACCACTGTTTGATTAAGTGCCACATGTTCACTGTTATTGTTGCCTTACCATCAAATCAACGCACATGACACATTCAACTGACTGAGTCTGCTGTAAGTGGTGATCGGCTTTACGTCTTGCCTGCACACAAAGCAGTCACTGACCTGTGGCATCAATGTGCATGTCATCGTCTACGTCTCACCGCTGCGTTATCATGTCATGTGTAGTCAAGGTCAATGCTACATCTGCATTCGTGTGTGCGCGTAGTGTGCCGTTGCCGTCGTTATCACACACACTATCTCACTTCCATACACGCACTGTTGTGTTGTGTGCTTGTCATAGACCCATCTATCACACACACCCTCACTTCATTACTGTTGTGTTGTGTTGTGTGCTTGTCATTGACCCATCTATCACACACAACCTCACTTCATTACTGTTGTGTTGTTTTGTGTGCTTGTCATAGACCCATCTATCACACACACCCTCACTTCATTACTGTTGTGTTGTGTTGTGTGTTTGTCATAGACCCATCTATCACACACACCCTCACTTCATTACTGTTGTGTTGTCTTGTGTGCTTGTCATAGGCTGGTGCTGATCTGCCATACTTCCATACAAAGACCCATCTGCTGGCCGTAGCCTTCCGTCCTAATGTACTCGTGGTAATGCTTGGCACTAACGATGCCAAAGTCACCACATGGTATGTGATGGTGGTCTAGGGTAGTTCCAATGTCAGTGA